CCCACCGCGGCCGCCGCCTGGCGCTCGCCCAAGTACGACCGGCCCAGCGTGGACATCGAGCGCTGCGACTCCAGCGGCTACTGGATCGTGAGCATCGCGTGCCGCGACCGTCCCAAGCTCCTGTTCGACACGGTGTGCACGCTGGCCGACATGGACTATGACATCTGGCACGCCACCATCGACGCGCTGCCCGGCGGCGGCGCGGTGCAGGAGTACCACGTGCGCCCGCGTGGCGGCGAGGTCGCCTGGGATCCGGAGGCCGCGGCCTGCCTGGCCGCCATGCTGGAGTCCTCCATCCAGCGCCGCTTCCCCGCCGGGGTCAAGCTGCACGTACGCTCCGTGGACAGGTTTGGCGGCCTGGCCGACCTCACCCGTGTGCTGTCGGAGGCGGGCCTCAGCATCACTCGCGCCAAGGTACGCACCTACGTCAACAGCAACTCCAGCGGGCACACCTTTTACGTCATGAGCAAGTCGGGGCAGCCCCCAGACAGGCAAGTGTTTTTTAAATGGGGGGGATTGTTTGGAGGGGAGAGGAGGGGGATGCTGTGGAGGAGAAGGGTCGGGCGATTGTTTGTTTGGTGATGCGCTGAAGACAAAAGAGCCCAGCGTGAAAACGTATCGCGTGGAGATGGGTGAGGAGGGACTCGTCGCTTGAGGCGGCGTTGCCAGGGCTCAGGCCGAGATCATCCCTCCCTGGGACTCTGTGCCTCAATGCATGCACTCAGGGCCCCCCCTCCCCTTTCCACACCTCTCCTGTAGGACGAGGATCCAGGAGGTGTGCACGCGCCTGGGAGGCAACCTGGTGGAGGCTGGGCAGGAGAGCCAGTCCTCCAGCCTGGGCTCCCACCGCTTCACCTTCTCCTTCCTCCACCGCAGCGCCGGTGAGTTTGGGTGCTCCTGGGAGGAGGAACGGTCGGAGGGCCTTGATCTGCAAGTGCTTGCAAGCACCTGTCCAAGAGCTTCACTGCCCCTAACACCCTGTCCCTTTTAAACCTCTCCCATGCAGGCTCTCCCATGTCCTCCTCATGTGGATCAGTGTAGAAGTAGAGAAGAAACTGGTGATGGGATGGCGGGGCGAGGATTATGTGAGACCCTCCTCCCCCCTCCTCCCCGACCAACGCCCTTCTTTTCCCCTCTTTCTGCCCTCAAGATGATTGCACTTCCTACCCACCCAACCCCCCTCCCACTCAACCCTGTACTCATCTCCCCAGCTTACCTCGACCACTGCCCCTGTCTCTCCCCCAACCCGCACGGGCACGCTCCACACTTCCTTTTCCTGGGACTGCCGGCTCCGCCACGGGGTTGGCACACCATGCTCCCACCCAATAACATGCACACTATCCATGCACCCCCGAGCATTTGTTTCTTTCTTGCCACGTGCCTGTGGCAAACACGTGCATACATCGATGTTGCCGTCCCTTCCAAACCGCAAGCATTTGGCTTGACGTCTTCCCCACACCGCGCTGACCCTGGAGCCTGGCGTGGGAGGGGAGAGGGAGGGGCCGGCGCCCGCGCCGGCCGAGGGCTCCGAGCGCCCGAAAACCTTGCCTTCACCCTTCCCCACTCCCCTCCGCGGCCCTCGGCCATCTTGCTGCTGCTGCGCTATTGCGTACCTTGTCTAGCAATGTAGCGTGTCATGCTGGAGTCGCGCTCCCATACCGTCGCCGGAGCTCACCTTTTTTGCTCAGGAGCTCCCGTGTGGAAGGTGCCTGGTGGGCGATAGGCGAGGCAAACGACCTTCCCTGCCGACCCAGGCATCATCCTTACTACTCTGTGGCCTTGGACGAGGGTGGGCCCCGCATTGCCCCCCCCCTCTCACCCTAGCGTTGCTCATTGCTTGTCCGATATGATGAGAGAAGTGTAAGCGCTGTCGTACATGACGAACGGGGATGATGGTGGCAAGGGACGTGAGGGGGGCATGGCCTGTGGCAGGTGTGGAGGAAGCTTCCCAGCCCTCAGCACCCCGCGCCTAGCAGCGGTGCGCCGGTGGCGCCCTCCGTGGGGCTGGGGAGCGATGCTTGCGGCCTGTGGGAGGCAGGTGGGTGGGGGAAGGGAGAGGATCATGTGTCGGGTACTGGGAGGAGAAGTCGACTGAGCTGACCAACACACCGACTCCAAACCCAGAGCGCCCCCACTGGCAACTCGCGCGAGCCCGCACATTTTGGTGGTGAGGCAGGACAGGATGCCTCGGCCCACATTGGCCCGGCCCAGCGGGTCTGCGCCCCCGCCCAGAAAGGCGTTGAAGAAAGCGCGGAGGATGAATGGGCTCGCGGTCCTCCCCGCAAACCAGGACTTGCGCGTGGCAATCGGGTCTGCCGTCACAACTACGGAGCCAAGTGAAGGGGGTTCCGGGGGATTGGAAAGATCACTCTTGCCGGTGCACCGAATCAGTCAAAGAAGGTCCCAACACACAACGTCACCTGGCATGCCCCGTGTGGTGGCATGCAGGCCAGGGCTCACCAACACCATTGATTCAAGCGCATGCACTCTGCTGGGATCCCAGCTCCCAAGCCTGGCCCCCTCAACAAGGCACCCCCACCTCCCACCTTCCACCACCAGGCCACGGTTCTGGGGTCGGGGGGTGAAGATGAAGATGGTGCCGGCGGGGACGTAGGGCGCCAGCTGCTTGGATGGCGCGGGCACATACTTCTCCACCAGCTGGTTCACGGCGTCCGGCATCTTTTGCCGCAGCCTGGACACCAGGCTGCCTTCCTCGGTGGGCGTCTTGGCTGTGGGGAGGGTGAGGAGGCCGAGGGGGTGGATGGCCGGGGTGGCTCAGGGGGCAGGATGTGGTAGCCGGATGAGGGGCGGCAGGGGATGTAGCAGCTGCTGCGCGGCTGACAGCCCTTGCAAACACACCTGTGCACTCCACTGTGTCGCATGGACGCCTGGCTGACCCATGCAGCAGGTCACCACCCACTCCGACCCACCCGTCAGCGCGGTCACAAAACGCTCCAGCTCCAGCTCCGCGCCCGGCGGCGCCCCCTGCGTCCGGCTCAGCTCGGCAAAGCTGGACCCCAGCCCCCCCGTCAGCGCGTCCCGCAGGGCGGGCATGGCCATGGGCCGGTGCGTCACGGCCATCAGCGTCAGCTCCACCGCGTCGGCGCTCTGGATCACGTCGTTCCAGAAGGCGCCCTGCGCGTCCCCGCTGGGCCGCCGTCGCGCCCAGCGTGGGCCCAGCTCCCGGCGCAGGCTCTCCGGGTTGGCATCTGGGTGTGTTTGTGCGGTGGGGGTTGGGTGGGTGGGGGGCTGGGGAGGGGAGGGGTGATTGACAATGGGACACAGGTGCCAGTCCTACTCGGCGCGAGGACCTTGGTGCACGCCGTCACTGGTCCCGAGACACATGCTGCCTCAGACTCCCGCCTGGCAGGCGGCTGTGGCGGTGCTCGCTGGGATCCCCATCGTCCCCTGCAGGCCCCGCCTCCCCTTCCCCCATGGCACCACACCGCCCACACACATATGCCCCACGAGATGTCCCGCTGGCGCGGCAGGAGGGCGGGCAGCCTCCGCGTCCACTCGGCACGGGGGGTCCACACTGCGCCCAGCCCCAGTTGCTCCTGCAGCACCGGGGGTACAGGGGTTCCAGGGTCCGTCAATCGACCAGAAGCAGATGCCTCAAGGCCACTCTGCGGCCTTCCTGGATAGTACGCACGGACAAAGCCCTGCATGAAACAATTCAAGGGGACTCTAGGCGCGGGTGCCCGCGCGACCCACCAGGGGGAGCTTGGCTTCATCCCGCGGCCGCAGCATCTCCTTCTTGGAGTCGGGGCGGCGCTCCGTCCCAATCTGGTGCCGCTGGGCGACCCAGCGCGGCACAGTCCTGCAAGAGGGTGCAGGAAGGACCAGGGTTTGAGTGGAGCAGTGAGGAATGGGGCTGCAGAGGCGGGCGTCCTGCGCAGCGCAAGCTGTGCCGAGGCACCTCCCCCCGTCACCGTGACCATGCATCATGCAGCCAGCGCACTCACCCACCCTCCTAGGGCACCCTGCGCACCTGGAGGTCTCCTCGTATATGCCCTCGTCAAAGTCATCCTCCCGCTCCACCAGCTCCTCCCCACACGCCTCCAGGCTCTCCGCCAGGCCCCTGCGGAGGCCCGCGACCTTACGCGGCTGGCGCTGCTCCACTTCTTCTAGCAGGGCGGAGCGCAGCTCTTTCCGCGCGTCTTCGGGCAGACGTGCCAAGGCATCGCAGAGCTGGGGTATTGAGGGGAGGTGTGTCGGACGGAGCTGTGCAGGAATGGGAGGAGTGTGCATGCCCAGTCACCCTCCTCTGGCATGCCGGAGCAGGGAGACCCTGCTTCCCATGTGGTCATGCATGCTCACCTTTTCGAGCTTCTCTACTGCTTCGAATTCACGTGGATCCCTTTGGTCACCCATTCTCGCCTTCACTCGTGCGAGAGAGCTGCGCTGGCCACCCTGCAGCAGCAGACCGACCCGCTACACCTCGGCGCAGAAGGCAGCAGCCTGCCAAAGTCACTCGCTCTAGCCTTTATGTATCAGAACATTATGTGTGCTCAGAAATGAATATAGTGTGTCGAATATTTGGCATCCAGGGATGCATGCATGAGCCCCATTGGGGCCTCTCGTGCGATGCTCGGTTTTCATAGCGATCAGGTAGGAACGGTACCGCAGAGTGTACCGCTGGGGCCGTCGCCCACTGGGACCCCGGTGTCCTCCCCTCCCGACTCCGCATAAGGGGACGGCGCGGGTCACACTCTTCCCTTTTGGCTCTATTTACAATGCGTGCCAAGGTAGGATGTGTGGGGTAGATTCTCGTGTGGATGTCGGCGACGGAAGGGCGTCGGATGCTTGGCGGGCCGTGATGGGCCGGCCTCGTCGTTTCTGATATGTGGCACCCTTGGCACTCCTAAACCCCTCACTCTCTTAACGATCGCAGTGGAGGAAGAAGCGCATGAGGAGGCTGAAGCGTAAGCGCAGGAGGCAAAGGGCAAAGTGATTGTCGGCCGCAGACCCGCAGCCTTTCCGCTGCCCTGTCTTTGCTCCCATAACAGCCATGCCTTGAGCCGCGCAGCGATGTAAAGCGCGAGGTGGGCAATATACGATGTACAGAGGGGGAGTCGGACCATCGGTGGGCTGCGGACGGGAGTCGGGCAGGAAGTCTGAACAAGGAGGCTGGCCTTGGCAGCCAGTGGGCCTGCCATCACTTCGAACCCTCTGGGTGGGCAACCTGATATCGCAGCCTCGGATCATATCAGTCACATCGAGATCGTCCAGGAACTCCGAAGTTTGAGCTCAAGTTGCAGGGGCTGGAAGGGGTCGCATCAGGGTTGGGACAGGAAAGTGCCTAGGGAGGGTTTAGACATGCACATAAAGCAGCAGCCTCTGTCACATACAGCCTAAAACAACAGCAAACAGAGTCCTTGGGACAGGGCTTTCCCTAAAATGATGTTGCCGGGTGTTTTACCCATGGAGTTCCTAGGACTGGACGGTAGAACATGGCTGTTATCACAAGTCATAAAGCCATCAGTTTGTGGGCTCCTGCCACTCCTGCAGGGTTGTCCAACCTTGCCAATGCCATGGACTAACACAATCAAGGCAGTAAGGCCAATGACAACCACTAGTTTTTGGCAGCACTGCGTGTCATGATGCAAAGCACCGAGCTTCCATAGCCCATATCCCATCGGACTACTCCCTCGTGCTGTCGTTGCGGGAGCCCTTGCGGTGCTGAACTTGCCAGTCTCGAAAACATTGCCGACAGAGGCCTTGTCCAAATGGGACGGATCTAAGACTCTGGTGCGCATGTGTTCTCCCACTGTCCCCTCCACAACAAAATCCATCATGGGCTGATATATTGCCTCACGAACGCAGCGCGTGGCCGACAGCTGTGATCGTTGTTGCAGCAGACTTGGGATTGTATCGAAATGGTGATGTCCACCATAAGCCAAGGGGGGGACGGCCCTGCATCGGGACTCTCGCATTCGGTTGACCCTGGCATTCGAGTAAAACCGGCATCAATGCCATACTAGAGTGCAACAGACGCGTTCACGGGTATTCAATCCCCGGCATCAACGGCTTGTGGATTGCCTGCCCGCAGGGTAGCAATCATCATGGGCCAGTTCCGTGTGCTGAATCTCTTCAAGCCGTTCCAGAAGGTCATCCCAGAGGTGCAGTCGCCGGAGGGCAGGCGGATACCGTTCAGGTGCGTGTCGGATCGGATCAGTGGTTGATGCCCTCGCGGAACTATCCTCTGTGTGCCACTCTTCCACGTGAATGGCGTCAGGCTCAGCCCCGGACCCCGAGCTGTCACCCGCAGGGACCGGCTAGGCTACACCCTGGTCTGTCTGGCCATCTTCCTGGTCTGCTCGCAGCTCCCACTCTATGGCGTCAAGTCCTCCGCCGGTGCTGATCCGTTCTACTGGGCGCGCGTCATCATGGCCTCCTCCCGGGGGACGGTGATGGAGCTGGGCATCGGCCCCACCATCACCGCGGGGCTGGTCACGCAGCTGCTCTCCGGGTCCAAGATCATTGATGTGGACTACAGCGTGAAGAGCGATCGTGATCTGATGTGCGTCCCGGAGGGTTTCTGTTCAGGGAGCCTGAGTGGTTTTGTGGGGCGTGGGGGTCGGTTGGGCACTCAGAGGAATGGCTTCCAGGCCCACCGAGTGCGTGCCTCACTGCGCCTCCTGGCCTGCCTGGTCTGCTTCTCCGCCTCAAAATTACTTGGCGGCGTGTGCCGAGCGCCAAGCGTGTCTGCAGTACCCACTGCACACCCGGTGTGCGTCACCCGTGCCCTCTGTGCCGGATCCCAAGTTGCACACCCCTGCGCCCCTCCATTACCCACCCCCCTCCCAAACTGATCCTCCCTCTCACACAGCAAGACGGCCGAGGCGGTGCTGGGCCTGATCATCACCGTGGGCCAGGCCATCGTGTACGTGTACACCGGTATGTACGGCGACCCCGCCGAGATCGGGGTGACCAACTGCGTGCTGATCGTGCTGCAGCTGCTGGTGGCGGGCGTGCTGGTCCTGCTCCTGGACAACATGCTGAACAACGGGTGGGGCCTGGGCTCCGCCATCTCCCTGTTCATCGCCACCAACATCTGCGAGAGCATCGTGTGGAAGGCCTTCAGCCCCTACACCCTGAACGCCGGGCGCGGCCCCGAGTTTGAAGGCGCCCTCATCGCCCTCTTCCACTTTGTGCTCACCCGCCACGACAAGACCAAGGCGCTCAAGGTCTGTTGCTTCCCTGGGGAGAGGGTGTGGGAGGGGGGGGGGGGGGGGGGTGCGAAGAGT